ATTAATTCTTGATGCTATAAATGTGTCAACTAAAAATAATAATATTAAATAATAATAATAATAATAATAATTTTAATGTATGTTCAATGATTCACCATTAATCACTTTACTTACCACATTCTAGTATTATACATTTTGTATCAAATCCCCTAAGCCTTAAATCAATTATTTTAAATTCGCCCCTTACATCTGTAAATACTTGTTGTCGTGATCCAGGTCGTGCATTTCGTGCCCCTGGTTTAGATATTGTAATTGTTGAGGCTGTAATTGAATGGATGAGTTGTTGGTATTGTTATTATTTTTTTTAGCAAGTATACTTTTATCAAATTGATTAAAAATTCCGACTTGCGGAATTTCATTGTAATGTATGTGTGTATGCGTGTATGCCGTTCAAATTTAATAAATTGTTGAAAGTTTTTGTGGGTTGCTTGATAATTAATTACGTTAAAACAATAACCAAATTTGAATGTCCTAGACAACAAACATACCTGAAATACTTTTCGATCTTATAAAGAAATAACATCACTAACAAAAATGGCCAATAAATCAAAAGCATAAAGAAAAAAAATGGTGTAATAAGAATGAGGAAATTGAGAATAATAATTAAAAAGATGTATTTAAACATTTTTTTTTTTTTTTAATTAAAATAAGTTACAGTAAAAATATCGTCGTCACTGTGAACTTTTTTTTTGGATCTTCCATTTCACTTTTTTCTATTGGCTAAACCCAAGAAGAAAACTTTATATTTTTTTTTGGATTTATTAAATAATTTAATATAACTATAATAAAACTTGTTAATTTTATTTTTTTTTATTTTTTTTTAGATTAATTAATTACTCTATTAAAGTTAATTCTCGTTTTCTATTCGGTGCATATACATCTTTGTAATCATTCCAAATTTTAAATAATTCTTCGATATATTCTTCCTGGATTTTAAGAACCTCTTCATCACTTGGATTAGCATTTTGTATGACTTCGATTGGTTTACCAACTAAATATATAATAATCATTATATATATATATATATTATTAAAACATGTACATTAAGAGGAAATAAAACACATGACACATACCAACAGTTGTAATTTGTCTTCTATGTGGAAGAACTCCGATATCATCTAAAATAAAATAAATTTTTAGATCGAACAAATAAATAATTATCCACCTTCTTCCAACAAATACATTTACTCATCGATCCTCTCTCCCTCTCTCTCTCTCTTCCATTTCTCCAAACTTACAGTTGAAAAGTCCTCTTCCGTAGGCTAACGGCATTGTCCATCCGATATACTTTTGTATCAGCTTCTGGAATTTCCAAACCTTACTTTCCCTAGGATTATCGGCCTGTTCCCAAATATCATTTTCACCAAATGAAAAAACAGGTACCAGACAAGCACCACATCGTATGGCCAACCTAACAAACCCTAACCTTTTTTTTAATATCAACTCATAAACACCTGGTCTTGCACTCAAACTTTCACCTGCTCCTCCAATCACAATCATCACTGAGTGACCTGGTCCTTTCTTTAAAATGTTTTCACATGATTGGCTTGACACAGACGCGACACCTTGCGCCATCACGTATTC